CAGTTCAGTTAAAAATGGGATTGGAAGTGGGGTTCAGAGTAGTCTGGAGCTTTTGTCTCCTTCCCACTAGGGCAATCCAGCAGCACAGTCAACAGCCCATTCTCTGTGTGCAATGTGCATGCCTCTGGGACTTCCTTTCTTCACTCCCCTGAGTTTCCACCTTACAGCCCAGACTCCCTCCTTATGTGTCTGGATCCTCAGGCTCTCACCCAGAACTGGGGTTCAGTGCTTTCAGAACTGGGTTCACCACAGTCAAGAACTTTTATCTCCTTCCCACTAGGGAATGCCAGCCAGGCACTCAGCCGCCCCTCCTCTCCAGCTCTGTCCTCTCCACGAATGTGAAATGTGTCTTCGTTTCTTAGGCTTTTACAGCTCCTCTGATTTTCCTTCTGGTTTTCTCTTTCCTTCTCATGGTAGAATTTCCAGTCAGTCGACTTTCCAGTAGTTCTGGGTAGTTTTGATCCTCTGCTTCTTCTAGTCCAGTGGTCACCAATCTTTTGGACTTCATGGACTACCAGTGGTACGTGGACCACTCTTTGGCAACTGCTGCTCCAAAGGTTTCCTTAAACCAGCTGTTGCTAAGCTTTTAGACCTCACAGACCACCAGTGGTTTGTGGACCACTGGTTGGCAATTGCTGTTCTAGTCTACTATTGAAACCTGCAATAGTGTTTTTTAGTGTTGCTATATCACTCTTTTTTTGCCTCTTGATTCTTACATAAGTTGTTAATTTTCTCATCTATCCAGTTTACAAGCTGTATGACCCTTAATTTGAATTCTTTTTCTGACAAATTGCATGCCTCTGTTTTATTTAGTTCATTTTCTTGTGATTTCCCTTTTTATTTACTTTGGGGGTTGTTTATCTTCCAGCTTTTGCTCTCACTGAAGGATCTAGTCATCTAGTTGTACTGGGCCTGTGACTGCTGCAACAGGCTTGGTGGTGGCTCACTTGTTCACCAGGACTGGGGTTGATGTGTTGTGTTTGGCAGCAATTCAAGCAAATGCAGCTCCTGGGGTTGCTGCATGAGCACTTGGGGTTTCTGTTTGGGGCTTGGCTGCTCATGCTTGTTTGCAGAACCCAGGATTGCTGTGTCAGGCTTGGAGGTGGCTAGTGTTGTGGTATTTGGGGTTGCTGCATAAGGCTTTGGTGTTTGTATGCAGCCATGGAATCTAGGGTTGCCGTGTAAGGTTTGTCTATTTGCACAAGGATGGGAAACCTGGGGTTGCTGCATAAGGCTTGGATTGCTGTATAAGGCTTGATTGTACATGCCCAGTCACAGAGCTTGGGGTTGCTACATAAGGCTTGGCTGTTCTCATGCAGATGGGGTGCCCAGTGTTGCTGCATTAAGTTTGGCTTTTTGTGTGTGGTTGCAACCCCTGGGGCTAACTCATCTGGCCAGAAAGAGAGGAGCATGCTCTAGAACTCACAGGAGCCTGCAGCTGTGGAGGCTGTAGTCTTGGTGTTCATGGGTTCACAGCTGAGGCAGCAGGTCCCTGTCCAGAGTGGCTGTAGGCTCCTGGGTGGTGTCCAAGGGATCCCTGGCTGGGCTCCCAGTCATAGCAGCTCTCCCCTTTAGGATAGCATAGCTTCTGAAGCAGAGCTGGCTTCCCCAAGAGAGATTGCAGTGGTAGCAGAGGCTGCCTGGCTAGGGAACTTTGTCTCCCAGCCCCCAAAAGTCCTGTGGAATCTAATAACTGTCCCTCACTCTCAAACACACCCTTTTCATTCACTCACACTCTCTCCCTCACTGCTATCCTGCCAGCTATCTTCTTCCTTCTGGATTCATTTTTAGGACATTACATATAATATATACTGTGATTGGATGAAGGAGAGTCCCACTGTCCCTACCTACTATCCAGTGAAACCACCCAAGGAAATGGGCTTAGCAGAATCAGCAGAGAAGGAAGACCCTGATGAGTTTGACTCTAGTCTGGCAAGTCAAAGAGATGGGAGAGGTTTATGAATGGGAGACCCTTGTGGGCCACAACCACCTCTCCTCACAGAGTGGGGTGTAGGGACAAAGAGAGGTAGGAAGTTTAAATGTGGCACTACACCTGTTAAAGTGTTCTAAGTTGAGCTCAGGAAGGACAGAAACTTCCCATGGAGCAGAAAGGCAAAAGCTCTCTTGATCTTGATTTTCTTTTAAAATTCTTTATTGTTTAAATTATTACATATGTCTTCTTTCCCCCCATTGATATCTCCCCCTTGATCTTGATTTTTAATAGGAATACAGACCTTAAAAGCAGGGTTTCATGTTTTAAAAAGAAAAAAAAAAGTATATATACTATGACCTTGACCTACAATTCTAGTCTCTTTCCCTGACCTTTAGAAGAAATTTCTAGTATGAATTGAAAGGACATTTTCCAAAATACATTCTAAAATATGAAAATAAAACTTGTTAATTAATTTATTTAAAAAAATATATATTTTATTGATTCTTTACAGAGAGGAAGGGAGAGAGATAGAGAGTTAGAAACATCAATGAGAGAGAGTCATCGATCAGCTGCCTCTTGCACGCCCCCTACCGGGGATGTGCCCGCAACCAAGTTACATGCCCTTGACTAGAATTGAACCAAGGACCTTTCAGTCCACAGGCTGACGCTCTATCCACTGAGCCAAACTGGATTCAGCAAAACTTGTTAATTTATTTAAAAAAATGTTTAAATTATAGAAGTTTTAGAAAGATTAAGTCTCTGGCTCCTTTCTCAGTATTTTAGTGATAGTATTTATAATAATATAAGCGTAATATGCTAATTAGACCAGACAGCCATATGACCTTCTGGACAAAGCTGGGACTGCGAGGGCCAAGCCCCTTGCACAAATTTCATGCATGGGGCCTCTAGGCTAAGTGACTGACCGTATGTCTGTCCAACCATTTGATTGACCAGCCAGCCAGTACATATGATGTTCACTGGAAAGCCTATATAATAAAGAGGTAATATGTAAATTAACCACCACTCCAACACATAAGATGTCTCCCCCACCCCCCATGGACTCAAGATGGCCTCCATAAGATGGCTGGCAGGGGAGGGCAGTTGCAGGAGATCAGGCCAGCAGGGAAGGACAGTGGTGGGTAATCAGGTCATCAAGGGAGAGCAATTGGGAGGGACCAGGCCTGTAAGGGAGGGCAGTTGGAGGGAACCAGGCCTGCAGAGAAGGGCAGTTGGGAGCAATCGGACAGGTAAGGGAGCAGTTAGGTGTCAATCAGACTAGCAGGGGAGTGGTTAGGGGTAATCAAGCTGGCAGGCAGAAGCGGCTATGGGCTATCAGGCAGGCAGACAGGCAATCAGGTGAGCTGTTGGGAGCCAGCAGTCCTGGATTGTGAGAGGGCAGTTGGACATCCCTTGAGGGGTCCCAGATTGGAGAGGATGTAGGCTGAGCTGAGGGACACATATCTCCATGTGAATTTCGTGCACTTGGCCTCTAGTTTAAAAATAAACGTTTACTTATAGATGTGTGATCCATATGAAACTCTCGCTGGCACTAGTCGCAAATGGTGTTTTGATCGTGAATTTGGTTGTTTTTGTTGACATTCTGAAGCTGAAATAAAGCAGTGTCACTGACAGGATATGTATGAAGACCAACTATTGGCACAATTCTCCCTGTCTGACATTAGCCTCACATTTAAATTAATTTGAAGACAGTTTCTCATGATGCCAGCATTTGCAATGACTATTAATAAATCACAAGGAGAAACTCAAGACAGAGTACCCTGTTTCCCCGAAAATAAGACAGTGTCTTATATTAATTTTTGCTCCCAAAGATGTACTAGGTCTTATTTTCATGGGATGTCTTATTTTTCCATGAAGAAGAATACGGTACACATTTATTGTTAAATGAAAATAAAGGAAATTTATTACCTGTATACGGTACGGTAGTATGGTAGTTGTCAACACAAACCAGACAAACTGTGAATCCTATAGTATCAAGAATTTACTCATTTATTCAATGACAATCATGTCATCTTCTGGAACATCATCATAACAATCCAATTCCTGAATTTCCTGGTGAATTTCTTGTGACTCCATTTCTTTCAGAATCAATGGACCAAATCTCTCATGTTTAGCAATAGCATTCTGAGACAGAGCCTGGGGGGGGGGGGGGTGTCTTATTTTCCGAGGATGTCTTATATTTCACTCAGAAGGAAACCTGTAAGGAGGTCTTATTTTCGGAGGATGTCTTATTTTCGGGGAAACACGGTAATTATATTCCTACCTGAACCTGTTTTCGGACATGGTCAATTATATGTTGCTTTCTCTTGAGTTCGAAGAGTGTGTGATGTTAAAGTTGTAAATACTTCATCACAAGGGAAATTAGTCATCTCTCTAAAAGTGTTTTTACTCTTAATGTGGTATACAGGAAAATATTAGAACAAGTTTAATCAACTTATCAGACATTGTTTTTATCAATGTTGTTTTTATATCATGTTTTTGTTTTTTTTCATATTATGTCTTTCTTGTTATATCATGTTATTGTTTATTTATTAATCAATATATATATTATTTTTATATACATTTTACTAATTTTCTTTCATCTCTGACACTTCTATTATAGAGAAAGAGTGAATAGCAATATTAAAATATTTCTTGTAATTAATTTTCTTTCAATGTGCACAAATCTATGTACTGATCCCACTAGTTTTAACATAATTGATTTTGCTTTATGAAATGGCTTCTCAAGCATTTGTTTTTTTTTGTTTTCAGTGCTATATGTTGACAATCAGTAAGTAAAATCAAAACAAGACTCACAAAGGAAATGCAGGAATGTTTTGAAAAGTTAGGAGGAAATGCTAAGATTACTACTGAGTGAATGATGTATTTGTTTTAAGTTAGGGAATATTTTTTAGATTTTAAAAATTAAGTCCCTAACATGAATTCAGTATAATATTGTAAACAAATATAGTTTTTATTTTTTAAATTTAACTATTTTTATCTGCTTGCAAAAATGAACTAAAAACATTTCTGGAATTCTTACACTAAATTATTCCTATTTCCTCTTTAGCAAAATGATCAACTTATCTGAACCAGATACAATTGATGAAAGAGCCATTAATAAGAAAAAGCTCACCCCTTTCACTGTTTCTGTAAGTATTTATACTATAAAGTGTAAAATGGAAGTCTTTTATTTTTTTAAATATATTTTTATTGATTTCAGAGAGGCAGGGAGAGGGAGAGATAGAAACATCAACGATGACAGAATTACTGACCGGCAGCCTCCTGCATGGACCCTACTTGGAATCAAGCCCACAACCTGGCCATGTGCCCTTGACCAGAATTGAACCTGGGACCTTTCAGTCCACAGGCTGACACTTTATCCACTGAGCCAAACTGGCTAGGGTTGGAAGGCCTTTCTTAATGGATGTTTGGACCCAAGTAAAACCTATGACTTAATATATTATAATTTCAGTTTCATATAAAAACTAGGTTTTTATTAAATAAAAATTTAGCTGCATTTTGTAATCAATGAAATTTTTAACTTAATATAATAGTATTCAAGTTATATTATTATAACATTATAATGTTATTTTTATTAATGAATATTTGCTGGGTGCTGGTGTTTTTATTGGTTGGTTGGGGGGAAGTGCATAGTTTTATCACTTCACAAAATTTTAAACTATTTAAAATATATATATATTTTTGCTAGAGGCCTGTTGCATGAAGATTCGTGAATAGGCCTTCCTTTCCCTGGCTACCCACACTGGTTTTCCTCCAGCACCCAGGACCCAGGCCTTTGCTCTGGCCAGAGTCTCCAATTTGGTCAGCTGGAGTCTTTGCTCCGGCCAGAGCCTTCAGTGTTTGGAGCCTTCAGACTTCTCCTCTCTGGCCAGAATGCCTGAAGCTCCCACCTCCCTCTACTATCCCCCACACAGCAGGTGTCCAACCCTGCCCAGCTACTGCACCTGCATATGCAAATTAGCCAGCATATTTATTGTGTTAATTTGCATACTCGCTCCTGATTGGCAGGTGGGTATCACAGAGGTATGGTTAATTTGCATATTTCTCTTTTATTCTTGTAGATTGATTTTAGAGAGGAAGGGAGAGGGAGATAGAAACATCAATGATGAGAGAGAATCACTGATTGGCTGCCTCCTACACACCCTACACTGGGGATCGAGCTTGTAACCTGGGCATGTGCTCTGATAGGAAGGAATCGGTAACCTCCTGGTTTATAGGTTAATGCTCAACCACTGAGTTATGCCAGCTGGGCTTTAGCTATTCTTTTTGAACTAAACTATTCTGTAGTCAGCTTGCCCATTCACATATTGTTAAAGTTCAGGAATTTATAGTTACCACACTTTTCTATCAAAATGTCTAGATCAGTGCTTGGATATCAATATTTATCAAGTATTAACTAGATACTACTCACTCTTCTAAACATACTACATGAATTATCCCTTTGACTCCTTTCCACAGCTTTAAAATAAGATACTATGACTTTAAATAGAATGAGACTGTGTCATTGAGAGGGTCCACAGTGTCCAAGTCAGGGTCTGGTCCCAATGGTCTGGCTCCAAAACCCAGCCTTTTCATCCCAGTGCCATACTGCTTCTCATATGGTGTGAGCAGCAGCAACTATTTCATGTGTGATTCACAACTGCAGCTGTGAGCTAAAGCTGAGCTGTTTCCTTTTTTTTTTTTTTTTTAAATATATTTTATTGATTTTACACAGAGAGGAATTGAGAGGGATAGAGAGCTAGAAACGTCAATGAGAGAGAAACATCGACCAGCTGCCTCTTGCACTCCCCCACTGGGGATGTGCCCCCAACCAAGGTACGTGCCCTTGACTGGAATCGAACCCGGGACCTTTCAGTCCGCAGGCCGACACTCTATCCACTGAGCCAAACCGGTTTCGGCTGTTTCCTTCTTTTTTTGTTGGCAAGTACAATCCTTGATTTTGCTGAAATTGTTAAGTCTCTCCTATAAGGAAACTATGACCTTAGGGCAGTGGCAAATGGTTAATCCCAGACTATCCAAGGGTTACTCTCATTTCCGGTCATCCTTGAGAATTATAGAGTAAGATGTTGACCAATGTAACTTTTTGCCCCTCCTGCAATACTGTTGTATATCCCTAGCAGATGCTACTATTCTTTAAAAAAGCCCATTTCTGATTATAATTGCCAGATTGTGGTTTTTTTTTGTTTTGTTTTTGTTTTCATCTTGTGTCAGGATGCTTCATCTAATATCTATGATTGTTGAAAACATTCATTTATGTCTTATTTCTAGAATATATGTCACACAATTTTTTTATGGCACTGAATCTGAAATTCAACATTTCTTACTGTTGTATAAATTTATTTCATTTTACTTTTAATATTTATATGCCATGTACTCAAGAAAATAAAGAAAAAATATTCTGTAACTATTTTTCAATAGCCACAGGATGGTTCCAAGGAGCTAAGTCCTTTATAGTTTTATTTTTAGAGAGTGCATTCTTCTAATAAGAGTATGTGAAATAGTCTAGATCTCAAAGATGCTTGAAAGAGTGTGCTAATGTAAAATGAGAAAAGACACGACTCTGAGAAGGTGCAAAGTATTACTGTGGATATTAAATTTGTTTTGTTTATTCAGTAATTTTAGAGCTCTGGAAATAGGTCTGCTAGAAAATTACCAGTTTTTCATGAAATTTTATCCCAAAGAGGTGTAACTCATTTGTAAAAGATTGTAAAGATAGTGATAATACAGTTTTTTTTTACACTTTATGATGATAGAATTATATAGTATCATGATGTTTAGAAAAAGAGAGATAAAAAGTATGAAAATGATATACCATAACTATAAAAGCAAGGGAAAGGGACACATCAGGTGGTTAATAGCAAGACTCATTGTTTTTAATCTTAGAGAATTTCTCCTACTCAGTCTACTTCTGAGCTGCATTTTCTTATCATCATTGAAAGAAAAGTGAATTATATAAATAAGACTGAAAAGCAGATTAGTGATTTAAGGATACAAAAATAAGGAAATTAACAAGAGTTGGTATGGGAAATTGAAATCCAGTAAAATAATATACTCACATACATATAGAGATATATCCTTTATACTTACTAGTACACATATGTACAAATGTACACATAAAAATATGACCTTAATTTTACTTTACATATATAATAGTTATAGTTAAAGTAGGAAATTATAGAGCCCATTTGGACATTTCAAATGAAGTAAAAGTGATGATATATAAAATTATGAAATCTGAGTAACAAATCATGCCTTTATTTTTATTGGCCCAATAATTGTCTAGCACACCCCTCTCAAAATTATTAACTAAAGTGAACTCATATGAAATTGGAAGTTAGTGAAAAATGAAAATTTGCAAAGTGCAATAAATGAGAAGAATTTCATTACCTACTAGGTGTACCCGGCCATGCCTTGCTGTGGCTCAGTCTGGTTAAATGAAAAAGAAAGAAAAAAGAAAGCGCACATTTCTAATATGTTTAATTTCACAATGTTTGTGTGTATACAATATTTTTTGTTCCATTGTCTGTGCAGATATAGAGATTGTCTGGTTTGCCGACTCTAGAGCATGCAACATATAAATTGTCCATGTGAGAAGCAATCCGTGTCTAGATCTAAACTGCACAATTCTAAAAATTGGCCCCGAGCTTTGTTGATGGTGATTGCAAACACCATCGAATGGGGAATTGCAATCTCTTAAATTGAAATGGCGTATCTGTTGGAATCATAGGAATCTGAGGAATGAAGGCATCACCTTTGAAAGGCCCTATCAAGATTTTTGCTTCTACAATTTTTGTACTGCAAGCCTCATGCCGTTGCAAAGCGTTGGCTAGTTGATATTTTGCAACATGATAATTGGCACACCAATTTTTAATTGCAGTACGTGTGGTGGCATCCCTGGCAGATTGAGTGAATTAAAAAATTCTTTTGGATAATTAACCGCTTCATCTGTTTCCACAACAGTGTTGATGGACTTGTATGATACTGCCTCGCTTAGAATGTTAGACTGAATAATACCATGTTTCCCCGAAAATAAGACATCCTCCAAAAATAAGACCTACTTACAGGTTTCCTTCTGAATGAAATATAAGGCATCCCCCAAAAAATAAGGCCCCCCCTAGGCTAAACATGAGAGATTTGGTCCACTGATTCTGAAATGGAGTCACAAGAAATTCACCAGGAAATTCAGGAATTGGATTGTTATGATGATGTTCCAGAAGATGATGACATGATTGTCATTGAATAAATGAGTAAATTCTTGATACTATAGGATTTACAGTTTGTCTGGTTTGTGTTGACAACTACTGTACTACTGTACCGTATACAGGTAATAAATTTCCTTTATTTTCATTTAACAATAAATGTGTACCGTATTCTTCTTCATGGAAAAATAAGACATCCCATGAAAATAAGACCTAGTACATCTTTGGGAGCAAAAATTAATATAAGACACTTATTTTCGGGGAAACAGGGTATTAAGTTTGTAGACGTCTTTGTTTTTGGCCGCAAGAATAGCTGATTCATTCAGCCAATTGCCATTCTTATAATTGGTTTGAATATTGGGAAATACGTTTTCAACCAATTCTTCTTTTGATATCATTAAATTGCAGAAGTTATGAGGCAATGAAATTCGTCCTGAGGTCAGATCAACCAGCACCTTTCCCTTCCCAGTTTCCAGCAATTAATGTGAGAATATCTTAGCTGATAGATCATTTTGCAGCTGGACACGCATATTTGTAGTTAATTTTAATGTCTTTACGTGTTGCCACAAAGTAGAGTATTTTAGGCAAGCATTTATTTTGTCCACTGGTGTCGATTGAGGAATTACAGGTAATGTTTGCCTGAAATCTCCTGAAATCAGTAATAATGTGTTCCTAAATTGTCTGATGTTTCCATGCAACCCTTGTAATGATCAATCAGGAGCCTCAAGCGATTTTTTGAGTGCCATTGTGCATTCATCCCAAACAATAACTTTGCATTACTGCAAAACTTTTGCTATGCCGGATGCTTTGGAAATGTTGCATGTGGAAGTTTCAATGAATTGCATGTTTAATGACAATTTCAAAGCAGAACGAGCAGTTCTGCCACCTACTAGCAATGTCACAGCAAAGGCTATGTCATTTTGGGATCG